CTGGAAAACATGAGATCAATTCTGTAGATCATCAATAATCCAGTGTAATTTCATCTGCGGATTATCAAGGTGTTCAAACACGTGGTTGCACAAATAAGCTAAATTATTACCAAAATACAACACAAGATGATTTGTTTGAAGATACCCATTTAACGACTCCTCGCAATTTAAACTTACTTCGATTCATCCTCCTTCACAAAATATGATCATAAAGTGTAAGCTAGTTTTATTTTAATAATAATATAAGACGTAAGAAGTCTAACACGTTCAGTGTAATTGGGCAGATTAACATCCTCCAACACGAACAAAGTGTCCTTAACTTGTACTCTATTTATTTATCGGATGACTGGTATTGTGTAGTTATTGATTCCACTGAATGTCCGAGCATCCTTTATGTTAAGATGCTTATTGGAAACTAAATGATAAAATTAAGATTAACACAAGAAACATTTTCTCAACACTTGTAATGCCAAATGAACTGAAATCATGTTTCTACTGATCATGGTAAATATATGCATGTTGTAACAGTAGTCTTAATTTAGAAACAGCATTGTGAAATATAAGTAAAGGCACAATGAGCTATACAAGTATATAACGATGTTTTGGGAAATTAATTTGATATTGTTAATCACATGATCTTGTTGTATAATATAGTTGTTGTTTTTAGGTAAATTAAAAATATTGTTTTTGCAATATCAGCAACATCATTGTTGATATATGTATTATTTAATGTTAGAAACGTACGTCTAGTTAATTTCATACCGTCTGGCTCTCTTTTAAATGGTTATTTGGTTCATGTGGATTTTTTCATATATTTCAAGTTTACCAGACATATTGAGCTACAGTTTTCAAAGCATATATTAAATCTAAGAAGCAGAATCCATTATTTAAAAAACTTTACGCTTTGTTATCTGGAAAAATGTTTCAATATGTGTGTGTGTGATAACTTTCCTATACGGAATATATAATTTTACTTACATAAATGTGCATTGGTTGTCTAGGATGATATACATTTAAAGCGATGTGAACTGTAATTAGAAGGTTAAGGTTTTTTATATCTAAATGTAAACAACTATGAATGAATTTACTTAGATGTGTTATAAATATGAAAAACATCTGATGATACAGAGGACCAGTAGGTTAAATCCGTTCGAACGTTCGTTGATATTTCTGTACGATTAGTTTTGATGTAGGTTATGGTTCTGTTAATATAATATGGCGTGATCAAATGTGTATAAAAACAAACATATATCAAAAGCAGATAGATATCATACATGGCAGATTGGACATAATACATTCATTTTTGTATTCAGTTAAAAATGAATATAATTAATCATAAATTAATTATCATTCAAATATAAGATAATGTAATTGCTTTTAATCTGTAGAAAATGTACGTTATATGCTCTGAGAGGCAAAAAAAAATCTCAAAATGAAATGTAGGAAATATTGGTTTTCTAGAAACCTTGTAATGCCTATTTTGTGTTTTGTCGTTTGATATTTAAAATTCAAACTTCGTTTTCGTTGTCTTTAAGGTCAAAGTTTACTTACACACATGATTTGTTGATAATCATCAATACTTTAATTGTTAATGTTCAGTAACCATAAATCTTTTTGTCACAAAACACGTTTTATATTAAAAAAAAATGCACACGAACGAATGGATGTAGTTATCACGCTGAAAAAATCAGTTTAAAAATATCATAACTGGTCAACTAAATAAGCAACCATTTTTATCAGTTATGTGGATGACCAGTATTATTTAATTTACATTACAGATTGACACTCATTATCTGAAAAAAATGTATATACGAAATATTACGGAAAGACAGATTTTTGTTCTGTGTAAAACAAATATCCTATTTCAAAAATACGAAACTTTTGTCCGAACTTTATAATTTTATAGATATTGCAATAAAAACATACGTGTTTACCATATTTAAAATATAAACAAAGGAATAAAATAAATAAAGAGAACTTTAAATCGTACGTTTAGAGTAGAGTTTAAAATATGATGGGTGTATAAAATATACATAAAATGTCAGTGAGATATATATTCAAACCATAAGACATTTAAATAAAGTTGTCAAAATTTCAAAGTTGGCTGGCTCGAATAAAGTTATCATTTTATATGGTTTGTTTGTTGTTTCTTTGAAATGGGCTATCTGTACTCTGTCTACCACACGTATCGAAACCCCTTCTTCTAGCCCTTATAAGTTCACAGACATACCGCTGTGCCACCGGGGCACATTTTATATTGTAACTGGAAACTGTCCGACGCTTGGTAAAAGAGTAGCCCAAGAGTTGGCGGTGGGTGGTGATGACTAGCTGCCTTCCCTCTAGTCTTACACTGCTAAATTAGGGACGGCTAGCGCAGATAGCCCTCGTGTAGCTTTGCGCGAAATTCAAAAACAAACAAACAAACTGTCCGACGGTGTAAAGTTGTTATCTGTTTTAGAGAAGTGGGGTAAAAACACCCTGAAATAGGGCCATTTCAACTTTTTTATACACTTTGGTTTTTAATTTATAGATACAAGTACTTCGTAAGTTAATAAGTCAGTTAATATATTCCACAAAACAGGATATGCAATTAGCATTTAACTAGATTATTTGGAATTTAGTAACAAAAGAAAGAAGAAAGAGGAACATTATTTAACATTGTTCTTTATACAACTTTTGCGTCATCAACGGGTACCCCAGCTAGTATTAGTAACAGCGCGTGACGTTTAATAAGAAACGAACTAACAATGCTTTTACTTGTAGATGATTTTTAGAGTAGTTTAGCTATTTTACATAAAAAGTTCGAATTGAAAAATAATCTTTTTTTTTTGTAAATTATCAATGTCAGGTGTGAGTTTTTTTATGTATTAGGACAAACTAAACAGATAATGGTTGGAGACGGCTTGAATGGGTAATGAAGAAAAACTTTAATATAAGTTTAACATAACAGCAAATGTACAACGTTTCACCTGATGATG